TTTAAGGAGGTAATCATGGAAATAAGCCTACACTTCTTCCCAGGATGCTGGCTATAAGGGTGAAAAATTGTCAATATAAATAACTTGGAGATGGGTTAGATAAATTATACATATTAAATATGATCAAATTCTACATAGCCATTACATTCTATAATGGAATTTTAACAGTGTGGAAAAGTCTCATGATATAGTAAGTGAAAAAAACAGGCTACAAAAAAGTATGTCCAATGCAATCCCATTTTTATGACAATAAATATAAAAACCAATTTGCATATAAAAATACTAAAAGAACAACCAGTAAAATACTGAGAGGTCTTATCTGTGGGTGGTAGAATTACGGATGAATGTGGTTTTTCTTTGTGCTTTTCTTTTTGTCTGAATGTTTTACGAGACGCATACTTTTGCTGTCAGCAGAAGAGGGCTATTAAGGAACCCTTGGGAGCAGAGAGGACAAGGACAGGCCAGCCAAGGTGACCCCAAGGCCCTTGCCAGCTCTGATTCCCTTGAGTCCACCGCCTGCCCCACAGAGGAGGGTGGCCCTGTGCCCTGTGTCCTCCAGCCACTCCCTTCGGGTCCACACATGGACCTGGTTTAGCTGCGGGGCAGCCCGAGTTAATCCAGAACGTGCAGCTGACCTGCACACAGTCTCCGCCACACCCGATCTCTTCTTGTCCTCACTTCCTTAGGAAGCGATCAGGTTCTGGCACAAGGAGAAAAGCAACCTCCGAGGCTGGTCCTGGAGTTACTCCTAAGCTACAGGAGAAACCTCCCTTTCTAAAGCAACCGTTCTCAAAGTCGTCTTCCTGTCCAAATATTGCAAACGTACATTGAGTAGATTGGAATGATTTTATTTTTTTTTTTTGAGACAGAGTCTCGCTTCGTTGCCCAGGCTAGAGTGAGTGCCGTGGTGTCAGCCTAGCTCACAGCAACCTCCAACTCCTGGGCTCAAGCGATCCTCCTGCCTCAGCCTCCCGAGTAGCTGGGACTACAGGCATGCGCCGCCATGCCTGGCTAATTTTTCTTTCTCTATATATTAGTTGGCCAATTAATTTCTTTCTATTTACAGTAGAGACGGGGTCTCGCTCTTGCTCAGGCTGGTTTCAAACTCCTGACCTCGAGCGATCCGCCCGCCTCGGCCTCCCAGAGTGCTAGGAGGACAGGTGTGAGCCACTGCGCCCGGCCTGGAATGATTTCTTAAATCTGTCTCTCTTTCTCTTGATGCTTTTGGCAATGAGGCAAGATAGTGACATTGATGGAGGAGCTGTCACATCTTGGAGTGGACTGGGGCTGGGCGGGGGTGGGGTGGGCAGCTCCACGTGTGACGCCTCATTTAATCCCTGACTCAGTAGGTGTGATCGCCCAGGTCCCAGATGTCAGGAAGCCTGACTAGTCCACACAGCGACCGACTCGAAGCCCATCGTGTTCATCCACACCAGGTGCCTCTGGGGGGGGGGCGCAGACCCCTCAGCACTGGGCAGTCGCCCCAACCTCTGGGACGGCCACAGGGAGCGTGTGCAAACACTCTCCATGCTGAGAGCCCGGCAGAGCCCTCCCGTCCTCTGCAGGCCAAGAGATGGGAGTTTCCGCTCAAAACGCTCGGGTCCCGGGAGCCTACAGAAGTCCTCCCGCTCCCTGCCCCGGGAAGCCAAGCGGGGCAGCAGCCCCAACCCCAATGGCAGTGCCAGAGCAGGGGCTGGGAGGCACACAGGTCCTGGTGGGGGCGACACGAATGCCGGTGCCCAGCGGCAGGCCAGCTCAGAGAAGAGATGCCCACCTCTGCACGGAGGCCGGGTCTGCTTGCAAGCTGGGGCCAGACGACCTCAGGAAGGCGGCCGTCACAGGCTGGGACACCAGCCTCCCGGAAACTGGCAGGGTCCAGCCTGCTTGGGGCTTCCCGGTGACCAGGGCTCTGTCCTCGGACCAGGGCGCTGTCCCCGGACCAGGGAGCTGTCTTTGGACCAGGGCGCTGTCCTCGGACCAGGGCGCTGGCTGCCAGAGCTGCCCCACACAGGGAGTGGGGCCTCGCTGGACCCCAGCCCAGTGCCTTCCTGGAAGGCTCCCTGCTCCATGCCTGAGGGACAGCCCTGTCCCCACCCCAGCCTCACAGAGCCCTTCCCTGGGTCGGGGTCGGGTGTGAGGGCTGAAGGTCTCGAGCACGCTGAACCTCCCCTCTGATTCCCCGACAGGCCTGTGACCCCGGCGGGGCGGCCACTGTCTGCTCTGACTCCCAGCGTGGTGCTCCCGGCCGCACAGCGAGTGAGTGACAAAGGGAGAGCCAACTCCAGCTACCTAATGCCATGCCCCACACCGGTCCCCTGTCCAGCAGCACCATCCTGCCCGGGTCCTCGGAGGGAGCCAGGCTCCTGGCGGCTCCAGGTCACAGAAAACACAGCGATGGCGGAGGAGAGAAAGTCGCTCACCCATGCACCACCCACGCCCGCCTGGACCCACAAAAATACGGAAAAGAGCAACCCGAGGGTAAAAGTTAACCGCAAGGCCATGCCAGAAGCAGCTCTGCTAGAAGATCCCAGTCCTCCGAGCTGGTAAAGAAAGCCACAGTGCCGAGGCGCAAGGCTGAACTTTCCGGCTGTTCCCCACGACTGCCGGTGCCCTAGCCCCCCCAGTCCAGGAGTTGGGAGCCTGAGTCCTGCCTCACCAGGGAGGCTGGCCCGACCCAGCGTGCTCCCCGGGGAGGAAGGAGCATGTTGCATTTCTATGTCCCGCAGCGCCGGCATTTCTGGTCTGAGAGGCCGGCTGCTGGGGCTGCCCGGGGTGCGCGCCCCCACGTCCTGCAGGGCCTGCCCGGGGTGCGCGCCCCCACGTCCTGCAGGGCCTGCCCGGGGTGCGC